GTCGAGATAAAGGCAGTTTAGTAAAAAAAAAAAAAAAAAAAAAAAGCAAAAGGAAAGGCCGCGCACGGTAGCAAAAGGAAAGAAAACAAGATTTATATTCCCTACTTCCCATTAGCAGGCGATGTCCAGCCTCTTCCCGGGAAGCAGGGCTTCAGTATCCATAGTTGTTCCTTCCCGAAGACAAAACGTCACAGAAGACAAATGCCCCCACTCCTCTTCCTTTTCCCTTAGTTTTTATATCTGAGCTGACATCACGTGGTATGGAATATCCCTTTGGTTGGGTTGGGTCAGGGGTCTTGGCTACGTCCCCTCCCAAGATCTTGCCCCCTTCCAGCCCACTGGGGGGGGGGGGGGAATATTGGAGGCACAGCCTTGATGCTGTTGGAGCACTGCTCAGCCGTAGCCAAAACACTGGGCTGTGACCAGCCTCTTTCTACACACCCCTAGAAAGCACAGCCCCATGCTGCTCGACCCAATACAACTGCTGACAGCACGAGGACTCCCTTGGGGCAGGCAAACGCCTCGCCGGTGGCAAGAAAATCCAGAAGGATCTTGCAGGACAGAGCGAGTGGGCAAAGAGGTGGCAGGTGACGCTTACCCTTATGGCATTTATCTCGTGATGGCTGATAGCAGCCGACTCCTCTGCTCTCCCTAAACCATATCTGCCAGTCAGGGGCAGAACTGGGGCTGGAGGGACCTGGCGGGGCCCTGAATCCACTTCTCAGGCTGCCAAAATGTTCTTCATGGCTTTTGGGGAGCTGACTGCCCCCAGGCCCCTGAAGGCACAGCTCCTCCAGGCTGGATATTTTCTGTAGGGGAATAAATCGGCGTTTCTTGGCACTCCAATCTCCAAACAGGTAAGGAATAACTGACACCCAGTGGCTTTTACTTTTTTTGCAGAAAGAAAACTGTTCCTGGTAAAGACTGATGCTTTTTTTGTGGGTTAATTAGTTGGTTTAGGGGCTTAGGGCAGAGTTGGTGTCTCTGCAGCCATCCAGCTGGCTGGGGGCTGGGGCAAATTCCATATTAATGTGAATGTTACGGTGTACGGTGCCCTCCTGCTGAGACTCTCTGCTTTCCTTTCTCCCAGAGCTGCATTATAAAGCGTTATTGTGAGAAGAGGTTCGTTCCCAAATACCTGGCGACTATTGGTATCGACTACGGCGTCACAAAGTAAGAACCTTTGCGGTGAGGAGCTGCAAGTGCTGGGAGAGTGGGATGAGCCACGCGGTCGCAGATGGCAGGCGTGGGTCTGCCGGGGCCTGGGCCAGGTGTCTGCTGCAGGGGGGGAGACTGGTTTCCACAGGGGCAGAGGGAAGAGGTGTGGTGGGGCTGTCCCACCTCCCCCTGCTCCTGAGTGACCACCCTGCCCTGAGCCAGGTGTGCTTGGCTCTACCAAGGCTGTTTAGTTGCCATGACGTAATCTGCATTTCTGCTTTAATAACAAAATAATCTGTATAATCTGCCTTCTTCTGGTAGCATAGCTCCCCGTTACCATGTTACATCCAAAGCTGGTGGGTATCTTCCTTGTCTGACCAGCTCTAGGGGCAGTTTTCTGGCCATTAAATCCCAGCACTCGGAACTTCTTGCTGATTTTTCTGTCCCCGGTCACCCAGCTCTTCCTTTGTAGAGGGCTGGCAGAGAGAAGGGGTGTTCCTGCAGGGACACAGCCTGTGCGAGGGCTGAAGTAGAGCCTTCTCAAGCATTTCCCTCTTCTCTTTCAGAGTGCAGATCAGAGACCGAGAGATCAAGGTGAACATCTTTGACATGGCGGGACACCCGTTCTTCTACGAGGTAAGGCAGATGCGGCTCCAGGCAGCACGCTGCAGGGCTGCCTCAGCCAACCCATCTCAGAAGCATTTGGCAGCCATCAGATTTCCTCAGATCTGCCCAAAATTGTGTTTGGGGGTGGGAAATTGGAAAATACATTTCTTACAAGCTTCCTTCGCTACACTACACCCCCTTCTTTCCTGCCACGGACACCGGGCCAGCACTTAGAAACCCTCGCTGCCTCTCTGTGAGCAGTGACTCCCTGCTGCTAAGGGTTGCTGAATCCAGGAGCCTGGTGGAGGTGAGGCTCCCCCAGTGCCATACTCCGAGGTGCAACCAGTAGCGAGGCTGAGTGCGTATCCCCTGTAGGCACACCTATACAAGATGTACATACATACACACATGCACAGACAAACACAGAAACATCCAGCACTGGCACAGACAGCGCCACTGGCCTCATCCTGGTCCCTCTGGCCGATCAGGAGAAAGAAAACAAAGTTAAAACTGGAACCTATAAAGCCACAAACAACTCTGATAAAAAGAATAACCCAACCACTTTCTCATAAACCACGGTTTGGCTTTTACAAGCTACCACTCATGTTGCTAGCCCTATTTCAAAGTGGCTCCTTGGGCTTATGAATCTGCCCATCTTGAGGTTAAATTTACTCAGATTGGAAGATTTTTGGAGCTTACCTTGGGCATCTGTAGCATACTGGCATCCTAATCCAGGACCAAAGAACTGCAAAACACTTGCAGTTGGACTAAGTGATCATTGTAGGTCCCTTCCAATTAAAGTCCCTTTCCCTTCCTTCCCCTTCCCCTTCCCCTTCCCCTTCCCCTTCCCCTTCCCTTCCCTCCCTATGTAAGTAATGAACAGTACTATTTACAAAAAGGAGGTTGCAGAATAAAACTTTAGGATTTGAGCACATAGACTACGACATCCGTTTTGGAGAGCTGGCACAAAGGAGTGATTGTGCTCACTGCTACTCACATTTCTTTTAAATTATAAACAAAGTAATAAAGTGGACCCAGAAGTGGAAGAAAGGAACATTAAATGTTTATCCAGTACAATCCAATTGTTTTAAGTGTAATGCATACTAATTCTTAATTCTAAATACACTGTTGATGCTTGGCGAAGCGCCATCCTGTGACTAATAAAAATGTATAGAATGTTAGGAAAGAGCAGTTTATTTACTGCTGTATTTATTTCGGTATTTAGCATTGGTGCGGCCTCACCTTGAGTACTGTGCGCAGTTCTGGGCCCCATCATTTAAGAGGGATGTGAAGGTACTGGGATGTGTTGGGAGGAGGGCAACAAAGCTGGTGGAAGGGCTGGAAGGAACCTCCTGTGAGGAGCAGCTTTGGGCTTCAGGCTTGTCTAATTTGGAGAAAAGGAGGCTGAGGGGCGACCTCATTGTTCCCCACAGCTTTCTGAGGAGGGGACATGAGGTGCTGAGCTCTTCTCCCTGGGATCCAGGGACAGGACACCTGGGAATGTTCAAAGCTGCACCAGGGGAGGTGTAGACGGGACATGAGGAAGCATTTCTTTACCAAGAGGGTGGTCAAACCCTGGCACAGGCTTCCTGGAGAGGGGGACGATGCCCCGCGCCTGTCAGTGCTTAAGAGGCATTTGGGCAGTGCCCTTCATAACGTGCTTTAATTTGGGTCAGCCCTGAAGTGGTCAGGCAGTTGGACTTGATGATCCCTGTAGGTCTCTTCCAGCGGAACTACTCTGTTCTATTCTAATGTCTGTCCTTTAGCTGAGCTTAGACCCTCATCCAGCAGCTCTTCTGGGGATTTTTGGTCTCCCCAGTTGCTGGCACTGCACATACGAACCACAGAGGCTGTAGTCCCACTCCAGCTGCTGGTACAGACCTCCTTACACACACCCACACGCACAGACAGACGTCCTGCCGATCCCTCCAGTAGCTGGGCATAGATGTGCAGTCTGCCCAGTGGCTGGCCTGGGATCCTCGCTCTGCCCCACTGCCTCACACATCTGCAAGCTGGTCTCTCGGTTGACTCCCAGACCTTCCAGTCTCCCCAGGAGCTGGTCTGACACCTTGTCTGCTCTTGTGCCTCTGTGCTTTTTTGTGCGTGTGGAGATGAATCTTGTATTTGGGTTATTACTATTACTAGGGTTCCCCCATCTGCCCTTTTTCTGTGATCTGTTTGTGTAGAGATAGGATTTTTATCACAGAATGTAAGAGGTGCCAGGTAAATGGTGATTCCCCCCCAGATCTGCCAGCCCATGTGCTCTCAGCCTGGCTGTCGCTGATGCCAGCACCCTGCCTTTGTCCCCACAGGTGAGGAATGAGTTTTACAAGGACACGCAGGGGGTCATCCTGGTTTACGACGTTGGACAAAAGGAGTCTTTCGACGCGCTGGACGCGTGGCTGGCTGAGATGAAGCAGGAGCTGGGTCCCCATGGGAACATGGAGAACATCGTCTTCGTTGTCTGTGCGAACAAGGTGAGCTGTGGTGGGGAGCCAGGCTGCGGTGCGGTCCTGATCTCCGGCCCTCAGGGCTCGTCATGTTCCCAGCCTGAGCCCAAGCTGTTGAGCTCCAGCTGCGGCAAGGGAAGTGTTTTTGAGTTGTAGGGAAGACTTCCTGAGAGCCAGATCTGTGTGTGAGGAGCACTGGAGACCGCATTTCAACGGGGTTTTGAGACTGTGGTGGCCACACATCAGTCAGGAAGGGATCAAGTAGAGGTGACTGTCTCTGGACAAAGGCCTTTTCACTTGAATTTTCTGTGCTTTCTTCCCACACTGCCTCCATCCCTTCAGGATGAGCAAACAGCCTCTCCAACCAGACATGCCCCTTACCCGCTAGTAGATGATCGGGGCTTGGAACTGCGTTCCTCCAGCTGCTGCTGCAGACCCTGGCTGAGCTCTGATCTCTGCCTTTTCTCCTGGTCTAGATCGACTGCACCAAGCACCGCAGCGTGGATGAAAGCGAGGGGCGGCTCTGGGCAGAGAGCCGGGGCTTTCTTTACTTTGAGACATCGGCACAAACAGGAGAAGGAATCAATGAGATGTTTCAGGTGAGGTGTAATGAAGGTGGTGAGGGCACAGGCACCACACTGAGCCAGGATTTGATGGCAGAATGTCTCCTGAGATGCCTGGATCCCATAAAACGTGTTGGCCCTCTGCCCCAGAGGTGTCTTCCCAGTGAAATGTCGCCCTGAGAACGCCGTAGCTGTTTAGCTCAGGATCACTGTTGGTCCTCCCAGTCCTGAGCTGGCCCTAGCACTGCGTTCCTCAAAGCTGATGATCCCTCTTGCTGCTCTGGGGATGTGGTAGCAGAGATGCCCATGTCACTTTTTCAGGTCTAGCACTGAGCTGAAGTGGGTTTGAGATAAATGTGGGGCCTGGCCTCCTCAGCCTGTACCATGGTCCTTGCAAGGACTGGATCCCCCCAGACTGGGGTATCTCAGCCCCCCACAGCCCAGGCAGCGGGGAGTGAGCATTCAGCAGTTGTGCAAATGCTCCCCCATGCTTTGGAGGATGAGCCCGCAGCCAGTGAGGGCAGCAGGGTCTCCTATGACACTGCCACCACCTTTGGGGACTGTTCCTTCCCGCTAACTCCTCCCTTGCGTTCACAGACTTTCTACTCGGCCATCATCGACCTGTGTGACAACGGTGGGAAACGCCCTCCTTCCAGCACGGGGGTCAGCTTCACCAAAGAGCAGGCAGATGCCATTCGCAGAATCCGCAACAGCAAGGACAGCTGGGATATGCTGGGGGTCAAACCCGGAGCCACAAGGTGAGGGAGATTGCAGCGTTTGCCTGGCTGTGTGTACTCTTCCTCACCCGGCAGGCCTGTTGCATCTGTGACCTTTTAGCAACCTGCCTGCTGATAAGCTCACCTTGGGTTATGTAGCAGCCGGGCACAAATATCTAGCCACAAAATTGAGGCAATGCAAAAGAAACCCTCGGTCCTGAGCACCAAATCCCCCCTTTTGACAAGACAAGCCAGGCTGGAGGCAAGGGGGCAGTGATGAACAGGAGAACTTCAGCCCTGTCAGCTGGCTGCCCTCCAGGCTGAGCCGTCTCTGGTCACTCACTCACCAGACGTGTTTGGAGCAGCTCCAGCTTTACTTTCCTTGCTCTCCAGGTCTGGAGAAGCTCTCAGGCTGCTGTAAGGCTGCTGCCTGCATTATCAAACAGGGATTGATGTTACAGCTCTTCCACCTGGAAACGGTACTTCCCCAAGACAAGCTTTCTCTTGTCGTCCTCAGAGGACCTCTAGTTGGGTGGAACTGGTCATTGCCTCTGTAAGTGGTCGGATATTGAATCTCCCAGTTCTGCTGTATGACTTGGGCTGCTAAAACAAGCTCCCAGAGCTATGTCTTGCTTTCCCCTCTCTGAAACACAAGGACTACCCTTGTGCACTCCTTATGGAGGGGCTGAAGAGCAGATTTTTGGATAACATATATCATTCAGGACTCACACATCCTCCCATTGGCTCTCTGAAATGTAGATGCTGAGCCTAAGCCCTCCTCCAGCCCCCTCTCATCCACGCGGAGAGATCAGCAGCTCTGCAGGGCGGTTTGTGCTGTGGTCACTGGCACGGACGGACTCACCTCCCTGAGGAGGTGCCCCCCCCCTTTCTCCACAGCCTGTAGCTGGAGTCTAGATGTCTGCCTTGGACCAGACACCCAGGGCTTAAAGGGCTGAAGTGATGTGCAACGCCTTCGCCCGGAGTGCGTAGGCAGTTTGATGCGAAGCTGAGTCAGGGTGTGTGTGCCCCCACGCTGTCTCCCAGCTTTCTGCTCTCGTGGTGCCAGAGGCTCAGCACACCAAGGCACGTGTCGCAGGCACGTGTCTGGCGTGACGGGAGCATTCGTGCTGGCGCAGTCCCGTGGCGGAGAGGGTGTATCTGCCCCTGGAGAGGGGTTCTACCCCCCTCCTCTCCTCATGCCACACCAAAAAGTGCCCTGTGTGCTTTTCTTCAGCTCTTTCCCCATAGCATCACCTCCAAAGCCCGGAGGTCCTTGGTGCCAGCAAAGCAAGGGTTCAAAAGTGTCTACACAGGGGTGTTTAGCACAGGGGGGAGCTCCTGACCCCACTGTGCTCTGCCAGCCGGGGCGAGGCTGAGCCGGGCTGTGTGTCGTGTGGGTCCCCTCACTCTTGTCGTGTCTCCTAGGGACGAAGTGAACAAAGCCTATCGGAAGCTGGCCGTGCTGCTCCACCCCGATAAGTGCGTGGCTCCCGGCAGCGAGGACGCCTTCAAAGCGGTGGTGAACGCCCGGACCGCGCTTCTCAAAAACATCAAGTAGGGAACAGAGCCGCTCAGAGCTGGAAACCTTCCTCTCCTCCCAGCTAGCTCCCAGGCAGGCGTACGGCTGTGGGGCACCCCTCTCCTCCTCACGCTCACCGCTGGCACGGACACAAGATGCTCCCAGCACCCGCCCTGGAAGCGGGACTGCATCGGACCGTAGTGCATTTGTGATATGGTGGAAAGGGGGCAGAATGCTGAGGAGGGGAGAGAGACCCCAGACCCCTCCCTGCATCCATGGCCTCAGGTCGTGGTCAGCCTAAGTGCTGAAAGCAGTGAGGTCCCCACCTTCCCGGATGCGTTACGCCTCCTGGGAGTTGCCAGTCGTGGAGGGGTTTGGATGTGTGGCACCCACCTCCTCATCACAGCACAGAGTCTCCTACCTCCACCTCCTTCCCCAAGCTCAACTCATTGGGAAGAGCCCCCAAGGCTGCAGGCCCTCAAGCCACGTGCTCCCTCTCTCCCAGCCCTCCGCTCACGCCACGCTGGCGAGCTTCGGGTATGTGCCACCAGCCCCTGTCGGGGACTGTCCTCAGCTGTGGGTGGCCCTGGCTGTTTGCAGGCAGGAGGAGGGTGTGGACCCAAGGAGGAGGCAGTTCAGCCCCCAGCATGGCTGCCTCTTGGCTCTGCCCTTCCTCCTCTCGTCCAGCCTCATCTCCCGAGCTTTGCCCGCATCGCAGAGCTTCGTGGGTGCCCACGATTTGCCTGCTCGCTTGGCCCCGCGGCGCTCCCGGGTTAGGTGAGCGGTGCAGGGGGCATATTCCTCCCCCAACCCTCTTTTCTCACAGCAGCAACGCGTCGCCCTGCTTTGGGGTTGTGTTATGGGTTGCTGATCAGCGGGTGGGTGCCATTTGCTCCCTCCAGGTCACAGCTGTTGTTTTCTTTGAACAGTTTTGGTGATTTAGAGGGGAATGTTGCTGCAAGAAGTGCATGCAGAGGCTTGGGATCTGGTCGTTGTGATCCTGAGGGAGGTCAGTGCTGTGATGGCTGCCAGGCTCTTAGGGGACCAAACAGGAGATCCCTTGGGGTCCTGTGGTTTTGTCAGGACCCAGTTTTATTTCCTTGCTGCTGTGTGAGCTTAGTAGGGAAGGTCAGGACACTAAGCTATGAAAAAAAAGCCACTGAGGGTGCGTGTATGTATCCTTACCCCACCATGCAGGATTCCTGTTCAAAAGTGTTTTCTTCTATGGTTAGTGCAATATTTTAATTTTTTTTTCACTTCAAGGCAGCTTTTCTGTGTTTCCTCTTCAAAATATATCATAAATCAACAGTAGATCTCTCCCTTTTTTTTGGCAGCAAGCGTTAAGGGACTTTAAAGCCAGTATCATTGTGCTCTTCCTCTGGTTTCTGGTGCGGGGTTGCTGGGAAGAAGAAATAAGCTGTCCTGCTAGGAAGCACTTTTTGTTTCTCCGGTGTCAAAATAACCAAGGGGAGATGTTGCTGCAAGAGGTTAATATTTAAAATAGCTCAATTTTTCCTCTCCCAGGTGCATAAAAAGCTGGGCTGGGGGAGATCAGCAGGACAGGCATTGGAGCTGTGGCATGTTAGACCGATGGCGTCTTGTTCCACACATTTTATAAACACTAAGGAATTCACTGGAAACCTCCCCAATTGTCTAGTGGAGGAAACCACTTAATTTTGGCTTCAAACCTGTTTCTCTGTGTTCCTTTTCCATTGAGGAGGGTAAATAATCCCGTTGCGCTTTGCTTTGGGGGTGACATCCCAGTGCCTGGAGCAGGTTAGAGGCTTCCTTGGCTCCTGCTGCTCAGGGGCTCTCCGTGTTGTGCCATGCCCGGGCTCTCCGTGTTGTGCCATGCCCGGTCCCTCCTGGTTGCTCCTCAGGTGACTCTGCCCGCCGGTCTTGGGGTTCCTCCCGTCTGTTTACCGAGCTGACCGGATGCTTGGAGATGATTACACACACGTGTCACGTCTAGCGATGCCGGTGACCTTCTAAGTTGTGTTATTTTTATAAATTAAACCCCCCTTTGGAACAAAGGAAGCCCTGTGAGCTGTCCTCCTGCGGCGACCGCCTGCCGTTAATGTTTAATTGCCCTTTGACTCATTTCTCTCCTCCCCAGCTGGGTCTGGCCGAGGCTGGTGGTGAAGAGCTGCCCTCGAGGGTGATGATGGAGGTTGTGAATCAACTCTGAAGGAGTGGGAGCCGGGTAAGGGATCAGTGCAGCTCCGCGAGTCCCACAGGGACGTGGTGCGGGATGCACCCAGCTGCAGCAGAGCCTGGCTCTGACCAGGGACCCAGGGGCAGAGGGGTAGCTCTGTCCTTGCTGCAGGCACACCCGCCTCCGCACCGGCAGCCCCGGTAGTGTGCTTCCTCCAT